GCCAGGGTTTTTCACAAGGGCACCCCACAAACCCCACGGGAAGGACCGAGACGGAGAAGAGACGAGAAAAACCCCCAGAAGAAAAAGAGAAAAGAGAAAAGAGAGAAGAAAAAGAAGAAAGAAAAAGAAGAAAGAGAAAAGAAAAAGAGAAAAACAAGAAAGGAGAAAGAGAGAAAAAAACCAAAAACCCAGAGACGAGGAAAGAAAAAAGAAAAACACAGAAACAAAACCCCAGAAAAAAGAACAAAAATAAAAAGAGGCCAGGGGAAAACAAGGGAGAAAGAGAAGGGGAAAAGGAGAAAAAAAGACCCACAGAAAGAAAGAAAAGGCAAAGGAGAAAAGGAAAAGGAAGAGAGGGAAAAGAGAGAAAAAGGGGGAAAAAGGGGAGAGGGGGAGGAAAAGGAGGAGGGAAGGGAAGTTTCTCCCAAAAATTTCTTTTTTGTCCGGTTTTTTCTTTGTCTGGGAAAAACCAACAGTTTTTTTTGAACAAATTTTCCAAAAAAAAGGGTGGGGTTGGGAAAAAAATTCCCCCAAAAAAAAAAAAAATTTTGACCATGGCAAGGTTTTTCGTTCCAGATCCGGAAAGTCCGTTTAAATGATGCCACAGCCCCGAAAACACAAACAATGGGGTGTTTGGGGGAAAAAAAATGCACCTTGATAAAATGCCAAATGGACAAACCCAAAAAAACCCCCCCCCCCAAACCCCCCCTTTGCCCTTTTAAAAATTTGATTTCAAAAAGCTTAGAGCCTACATCCTGACTGTTTAACATTATTTTATTTCGGGAGGAAAGAGGGGTAGAATTTTCCAGAAAAGAAAAAAGGGGAGAGGAATAAGGTAGAATTATGAATACTGAAGGGGGTGTTATTGGGGGGCTTTTGGTGGGGGTGTGGTTTGTGTGTGTGTTGTGTGTGTGTAGGTTTGTTTTTTGGTGTGTTTGTGTTTGTTTTTGTGGTTTTTTGTGTGTGTTGTGTGTTGTGTGTGTTGGTCTTGGGTGCGTGCGTGCGTGCTCTTCGTGCTGCGTGCTTTCGTGCGGGTGCGTGCGTGCGTGCGGGGTTTGGTGTCGGTGTCGCGGGGGGGTGGAACTGCTGACGGATCGTTTTAAAAAAGATGCTGGATAGGTTAAGCACCAAACAGGGTGTTCCAGCCTTTAAATAACACTCGTCCCAGAGTTACTCAGGTATTAACTGTCCGCGGCTTACCTCTCCCTTTTCCTATCCAGACAGACGCATTTTCCTCCTCTTCTATTAGTTTTTCCCTGGTACTGCTGGGGGTGGGGCCCCATACGAAAAAAATAAAAGATCGTTTTTTTTCTTTAAAAACCCCCACGATAAAAGCCCCTCATATGGTAAGGAAAAGTAATGAACAAATCGGTCTCTGTGTCTTGGATCGCCCCCCAAGTAGGAGGAGGGAACATCGGAATATTTCCTAAGAATAAAAATTAAATTGCGGCAAAAAAACACACACACGCCACACGCACGCACCACGCACGCACCAGCACCACGCACCACGCACGCACGCCGCACCCCCGCACGCACGCACGACGCACACACTCCCAACACACACCACAAACAAAACAAAACCAAAACAAAAAACAACACACACAAAAAAAAACCACACAACACCAACCCCCCCCCCCCCCCCCAACCCCCCCCACACAACACCCACACCCACACACAACAACACCACCCAAACAAACACTGGTCGGCTTTTCAAACCCAAGCAGGAAAACCCAAAAGTGGGGGTGGAAAAGGGGACATTGTTAAGAGATATAAGGGGTAAATACTCCGAGGGCATTATTTTTCCTATCCAATAAAAATTACGTGTCGATGCTAGGGATTTACGGGCCCCCTACAAGCCACCGTACATTTTGGGGTAACTTGGGGCTTTTCAGCTTATGAAAGTCTATAATGGGATCTTTTAAAGGGGGTACCCACGGTTTTTTAATTTGAGGGCTTCATTGGATTGGAGAGAGGAGAGTGAGAGACCATTCCCCTCTTCTAGAGGGATCCCATATCAGAATAAGCGTGACTCCTAAAAGATATCAAAAAAAACCAAAAAACAAACAGCCTTTTTTTTTTCTCTTAGAGCCTCCCAGTGGGCTGCCTTGCCCTCCCCCCTGTCTCTCCATGCGCCCCAAAAATGACCCCCTTCCCCCATTTCACTACTTTTTTACCCGGCCGGGACTAATAGGGAATAGGGTGTCATTTGGGGAAAAGGCCCCCTGCACTCTCCAGGAAGGGATTTTTTTTCTTTTTTAGGGGTTTTTGTCCCCTTTTTATTGGAACCATTTTCCGCAGAACATGGGTCAGGGGCGTCATTAAAGGGGGGCGGTGGCCATTTTTAACCCCGGTTCCCTTTTTTTTTTTTTTTTTTTTTTTGTTTTTTTTTTTTTTTTGTTTGTTGTGTGTTTTTTCTTCTTCTGTCTGTCTGTCTGTCTGTCCCGTCGTCGTCTGTCTGTCGTCTGTTGTCGTCTGTCTGTGAGCCCAAGGACCCTGGTTAACAAATATGCATATAAAAGGGGAAAGGTGCCTTTTGGGAAACCCCTTATATCCAAGGTAAAATAGTATGAACTAAGGTAAAAATGGGGGCGACAAACACCCTCTTTTTTCAATTGATATCATTAAGGGAAAAGTCTTGCGTTCGCTTTTTTTTCCACTTGAATTAAAAAAAAATACTAATCTATTCATGTTAAAACAACCCTTTTTGCACCCTTTCCGGTTTAGCCCAATCACTCACTTTGTGCTATCTCTTCCCGGTTCTATGGATTTGGGTGGTCAAAAGTTTAGTATGAATCATTTTTGAATAATGAAAAAATAGTTCTTATAGAATAAAACGTACTATCTATGGGGAAAACCGGACTTTCACACTATTTATAGGGGAAAAAACAGCGACTTTAATGGCTAATTTTTTGAAAAGGGGAAAAACCCTCCCAAAATTCACTGAAATAAATTTCAAACAAAACTCCAACGCACGTCACACTACTTGTCAAAAAATAGAGAATGATACTGTTACTTGGGGGGGTTGGGGTGGGTTTATGTGGGGTTTGGAAGGTCCGGGGAAGATTCCTCACGTCTTAAAAAATTTTTAAAAAGAGGTTTTGGGGCTATATTTTTTTTGCATACGAATCCAAAAATTGAAATGGCCAATTTTGAGCAACAATTAGCTTTAATTTCTCAGTTCAAATTATCTTTCAAAAAAATAATTTTTCAGGAAAAACTGTCTTACCTGAACCATTTTCAGCCAACTAGATGGTAGGGGTTTCCTTGCTTCTGATTGGAACGACTCCTCTGGGACAGGTAACCGCCATGTCGTTCTAACTCCCCCTGATAATTCTGGGAAAGGGAAGCCAGCCATGTTGTCTCTAACTCCCCCCCATAATCTCTGGGACGGTAAGCCCGCCCCGTCTGTCCTAACTCCTTGATAACTCTGGGGCGGTAAGGGCCCCCCTGTTGTCTCTAACCCCTCCTGATATCCTGGGACAGGTAAGCAGCCTGTCTGTCTCTAAATCCCTCCCGATAATCTTGGGACGGTAAAACCAAACCATTCTTCTCAACTCCCCCCCCTTAATCTCTGGGACAGGGAACCCGCCTGTCTGTCTCTAACTCCCTCCTATAAACCCGGGACAGGTAAAACCCCCATGTCTGTCTCTAACTCCCTCCCGATAATCTCGGGGCAGGTAAGCCAGCCATGCGTCTCTAACTCCCTCCTGATAATCTCTGGGGCGGTCCAGCCTTTTCTTCCCCCTAACTCCCCCCTTAACTCTGGGACGGTAACCGCCATGTCTGTCTCTAACTCCCTCCTGTAAACTCTGGGGCGTAACCAGCCTGTCTGTCTCTAACCCCTCCTGTAATCTTGGGGGGGTAAACCCGCATGTCCTTTTTCTAACTCCCTCCTGATAATCTTGGGGGGAAGCCCCCTGTCTGTCTCTAAAATTCCCTCCTATAACTCTGGGGGAAAGGGAACCAGCCATGTCTGTCTCAAATCCCATGATAATTCTGGGAAGGGGAACCACCTGTCTGTCTCTAACTCCCTCCTGTAATCTCGGGAAGGGAAGCCGCCCATGTCTGCTCTAAAATCCCCTGATAAGTCCAGCAGAGGTTATTTCTTTTTCCCCCCCTGGGGCACTCTGCCTGGACCAATCCTATAAACCGCTCCCTGTTTCATTTTATCCTGCTGTAAGTTCAATTACCCCCTCCTTAGGCCTCGAGCTGAAACAAGTCATATAAATCATAAGTTTAGACCCATCGACAAAGGCAAAATGTTCCCCTCTTTCTACTGCCGTTGGTCTGTCTGTCATCATTTTTTTT